TACTCATTTTCAATCACACATTCTTCAATAAAATAATATTTTCCATCACATCAATAACTTTTCCTTCATTTTTAACCACACATTCTCCATCAATCTACTATTCAATAATACATTATTTCAAAAGAATGTGTCTCAAACACACTCTAATTGAGTTGTACAAAGTTGTTGACAAAATAAGTATTGACAAGATTTAGACCATTGATTTTGAAAACTGTTTTTTTAATTATTGACCTAAATGTTGCAAATAAATAGTTTGTAAACCTACTTTGTAGGCATGGAATGATTCTAGTTGTTACCACGGAAAAATTGCACCTTTAATGAAAAATATGATAATGTTATTTATGGCCTTGTTTGATCCACATTAATTTTTTTATTCTCATTCTTCTATTTATTCTCCACCACACATTGTTCAATAAAATAATATTTTTCATCATATCAATAACTTTTTTCTTTTTTCAACCACTTATTCATCATCATATCAACAATAAAATGTGTTCTTTTTCCAAAAATGTGCACCAAACGGGAGTACTACCTATAGTAGTCAGTCTATGTGTCGCTTCACGTGACTTAAAATATCAAACATCCAACTTACCTTCAGCTTGTCTATTATTTTTCAAAAATATATATATTTTTAAAATTAATCTTCAACTACACATTTCCCTAATAAAATATTTTATACGTAAATTTAAAAATTTTCATTACTTTTGAATCATACATTCTTCATAAATCACTATTACGAAACTCATTTTTCATTAAAAAAAAAAAAACTAAAAGGACATCAAATATGGGCTTAATATTATTTATTTGAATAATTGATGGACTTTGACGTATAAGTATAAGAATAATGTTATGTGTATGTAATTAAATTACATAATGATTTATGTACAGATGAAGTGTAAAAATGAATGAAAGTATTTTTTTTATTTAGTCGACAAAATTATGATCAAATTCTATCTCATCACATCACGTACATATAAATTATTATGTACGTGTAGCACAATGAAATACGTCCATGTGTGTATCTTGAGTCTTGAGTGGGGTTGTGGGTTGGGTGCTTTGTGGTGGGGTAGTATTGCTTGCTTTTGACGGGTTCTTTATAGAAAATGGTTAAAAAGGGCCCCACAAATTTGGGATAGTTACACGTGACACCGTCACGAGAAAGAGAGCGACGCACCGCCTGCCGCTAAGAGCACGTGCTCTCATTCATGGTCATGGATTATCTTTCACCCTACCATACCCTACCCTACACTACACCTGTCTCCATAACATATCATCTGTGTTTCGATGTCCCACTACGTTATGAGCACACAGTTCGAATTATTAGAGGGTGTTTAGTATTAGGATTGACAATAAAGACCACCCTACCCTCGTCTAGTCACGTTCCGTCCCGCACTACGTAGGTTACTCTTATTTTTCACTTTCGACTTTTAATTGTAATCAAAGAAAAATAATAAAATTCAAAAAATAAATAAATGAGATTAAAAAATAAAGATATTTTAATTCAAATCATGCCATCTGAAAATCTCCAACGAGGTGGAAGATTAGGATGTTCGCTTCGACCACGTTTTCTTCCCCTATTTAGCACATATTATGTGTCATGGGCTAGCGATTATTCTTCTACGTAAGTGACTTAGCATGAGTGTATTACATGATGTATCTCGTTAGTTCAGAATGAATTGAATTTTTCCAAAAAATTATTCAAAGTTACGACCAATCTATTAATCATCAATTGATGTACCATTGAACTACTGAGGAACATCAGTAGATTAGATCTCATAGAATTAAATTTTCGTCCTCAATTCATGACCAATAGGATTTCGACACTTTTTTCGTAACTCCTCGCTACTACACATGCCATTCATGAAAGTACGGTATAAGATTGTAAGCAATGTTTTAAATTTT